TATATTGCTGGCTTCGCGAATTTCAATGTACCCTCGAAGCACACGCAAATATGACACAGTGATAATTGTCAACGAGTTGCCGCCCCAGAGACGGAGGTAATCTCATCTTGGAGTTTATTGCGCCATACGTATACTAAATGTGGGTATTCAGGTACATCATTCTGTAGCGAAATGAAGCTTTTCAACTCCAATTCCGCGCGTGAACATAATGAGATGTGAGCCCTTGCGTAAATTGGGTGTTTGTACGAATGTTTGATGGTTTGAGGTGCTGTATGCTCTTATTAATGTTCGTTAGATGTAATTTATAATTTTGATTTCTGTGAGAGTCGAAACTCAACCGTTTGTCATCCGAACGTACTGTTAGGCTGCGGCTGGCGTCAGTCTTTTTAAAAAACACAAGTCCTTTTCTACAACACTGTTTTATTCAAAAATGCTAACAATGAATGTTTGCTTAACACCTCTGTTTCTTTTATTATATTTCTGGAACGAAGTTCCTTATGGGACGATGCGGAGGGGTTTTTTTTTTTCGGGTCGGGGGCCGAACCTTCTACGAGGTCCCCGCGCCTAGGGGGTGCGCGGGGTATGTGAGACTCAACGATCTGCAGGTATTGAGAGCAGACCGCGCGCCCAAGGGCGGAGGAGAATCCTAACCGGGAAAAAACGTCCGTAACGTAAGATTTTTATTAGTATTGCACACAGTGCACGACTTAACTTTGTAATAACGTACAAAAAATAACATATTTTTTTATCATTAATTGACCACGATCTCAGAGCGTTCGTTTGCGCAGTACACTAACTCTTATGCAAACAACCGTGAATGAAGTGTACCGCAATAAGTTCGCACGTTACCGAATGATCATGGGTTGTTGCGAAAACTCCAGTTTTATTTTCTTTATACCTCGAATAGAACTTAAAATTAGTATTTTTATAATAAGGAACTTCGTTACTATCCCGTTCGTTCTATCCGGTGTCCCACGACACCACACATCTTTTTTTAATCATACGGTCGCTGGTTTAATATCAGGGAAGTTTGAAAGCGTTACGATTATTACGAATCCATACAGTATCAGGGATAATATTTTATAACTGTTTAAGTTGTTGTATGAGACACTCGCAATACTATTTACGACTAAACTGGCTTTTACTGCACTGTGACTCGGACTGACCGAGACTAAGCAAGAGACTGGCCCGCTGACTGTAAGATTGACACGATGACTCTGACTAAGACCAGCACGATGACTGGCGCCCACGAGGCCACCTCTGTCTTTATATTACTCTATACTGCTTCTCTAAGCAAATTAGTGGAGTGACGAAAGAATATAACATGTGCTGCTTGTTCAGCACATTAACAGTATTACAAAAGGATATAACAATACGCATGAGTCCTATAGTCATGTGATAAGAGCAGTCAGTGGCGTACTGTTTAAAACATGCTTTAGTTTATTATTTGTTTTATTAGGTACGTAATGTGGTGCATTGAAAGCATTGATGCGCATCTATTTGAAAACTAAGACGACCATCTTAATAACATTGAGAGTACCTCGGTCGGGATGGGTTGTGTAGTGTTTATAAGCTGTCGTGGTGGTTGCGCGGTGGTTAAAACAAACAATAAGAATCGACGCTTTTCATCTAACGAGTAATAGTTATAGAAATAAAATATGAGGATACGAAATATGGGCAAATTTTAAAATAGAAAATTTAACTCTTCAACCTTCAAAATCATGATTTTCGATATAGTATATAAGTACATATACTTAATAAATAAAAAAAAAATACGCACGCTTAACAAAAGTTTAATCCTGTTTCTCTTCGCAACCGAAGTACCCAAAATGTTCAATCATAATACCTAAATCTTTGATTTTCATACTTTACTCTCAGATGCTCTCTGTATCTCAGAGAGAGAGAGAGAGAGAGAATACACTTTATTGCACACCAAAACACAATTTACATTCAAAAAAACAATCAAAAAACAGATAAATTTGTACAATAGGCGGTCTTATCGCTAAAAGCGATCTCTTCCAGACAACCGTATAATTTATAGAAATTCTGGAAAATATAAAAAAAAAATATGGCAGGTATGTTGCGGTCTGTAGGTGGCGGCCTCCCCCCGGTGAAGGTCAAGGGGCGACCTGAGGGGGTGAGGCCGCGCGGCGCGCTACCAGCACTCTAGCGCGCTGCCGTGGAGTGAATAGAGCGACCGGTCGACGGTGTATCGCGTCCCGACCCGGCAGGCTGGTTCTGGTCCAGCGGGGTATTCCGGGACACCAGCGGCACCGTCTGGGCGGCCCGACGGGCTGCCGTACCGAGACGGCCGACGTTTCAGAGCCTTCGATTCGCCTCGAAGGCTCCGTCGGCTGGGCGTCCTTGGGGTGAGCCGCGCCGTCTGGTTGTAGTGTTGACCGCGGTAGCCCCCCTACCTCATCCGGGTTCTGACCTCGGAGGGGATCGG